TCGGGGGTGAAAAAGAGCCCGGGGTAAAAAAAAAACCTTCCTGGGGGCCAAAAACAACCCAGCACCTTAGCCAGCCCCCGTCGGTGCCACGCCCATTGGAGCTTGAGCTCCGCTTATGAGAATCTCTGAGCCACGCAAGGTGTGTGGAAAAAATATTTATTTCGTAGAAGTTTTGCGCCATTTTCGCAGAGCAGGTTTGCAGAAAAAATGCACCTGATTTAGGGTTGCAAAAATTTTGCACAGCAGGGTTGTAAAGAAATTGTACCGAAGATTCAACTCAAAACAGGACGTTCAAGCGAATGCTTGAAGCTTGGTTGCCGTAGGCGCTTGTGTGTACCGGCCTGCTTTCTTGATTGTCCTTGTAGTATCATCAGGGTCGCGTTGGCTTGCAGCTCTGGTAAGCCAAACTGTTGATCCAAGGAGCAGTAGTGTTGCGCAGCAACTCTGCATAAAGGCCCAGCATTGCCCAAAACGCACAGAGTCCAGGTCCAAGGTCCCAACAATGTAACATGACACAGCTATCCAACTACCAAAAAGCCACAGGCAAGTGACAATGCCTGTGGCAGTGGAGCAGCATAGCAGGGAGTGCAGTTTGCTTTGTAAAGTGGGTCAACACTGTTGCTTTTGCATTTCAGAGGAACCGTCTGGGGCGTTTCATTGTTTTCATTTGTTGCAACCCTTGATTTTTTTTGCTTGCTGGAGCTGTGCTCTCCACTTTCATGTCATGTTCATGTGGGTCGTGAAGGCTCAACTGTAAGGGAGCAAAACCGCTGTTGGTGCGAAGAGCCCCTGCAGAGCAAACTGTTTTTTCTTGATCACACATCCTCACAGCCTCACACCCTCGTTGTGTTCTCAGACGTGCAGACAGAACATTCAGGAATTGTTGAGCTAAGCGAAGCCGAAGCTTGGGCCAAAACTGAAGGCAGGTGGGAGGTGTTTGGGAAGGGTTTGGGAGGGCCTTGGGAGGCAGGTGAGGTCCAGCCTGGGAGGTGTTTGGCGTGTCAAAATGTGAGAGCCTTGAGTTGACTGAAATACTTAACGTGAGTTGACTGAGAAAAAAATTCCGTATGTTTTTCCGGAATATTGGTTTGAGTGATTTCGTGAAATAAATTGGAAAAACTTCAGATGGACCACGTGACCGTGGCCACAGGGTAGCTCAACGCGGAGGCTAGATGCGAACTATGCCAGCGCCTCTCATGAAAATAGAAATTGCTTTTGACGAGCGTGCTTGGACATTCTGTCGATATCGAAACGATACAAAAATGTCGTACATGCAAACTGACTATGTATGCCATGCTGTTAGATGCCGAATCACAGGCCGCGCTTTGCGCAGCTGAACACCAGTGTTTGCGCCTAATGCCGGACGGGCTGGTGAGGTTTTGTTGCAGCTACGTTTTAGAATTGAATCTGACGGCGTCAGGCAAACTTCCAAGTACAGGTTCAACCGGGGTTAGAAAATCATGACCCATACTTGCAGCCTGAACACCCTCCCCCACCTGAAAACTTAGTTTTCGAAACATTGACCAACTTCCTACAAAAGCAGTGAGCTGTCTGTCCATTCTGGCATCCCTTTGTCTTGCGTTCGCTTGTATTCCCTTACAGAGCATGATGCACTTTTAAGAAATTCAAATTAATCTAATGTAATTGCTAACGCAAGACCGCCTTGGCAAGGGTAGAGGAGAGCGGGCTAGCACCCCCTCCTTCCGCCCGCCCAATGCCCGGTTTGGTGTCTTTGCGGCTTGAACTACCTGGTCTCAGCTACAGCTCCTGTTTGGTTAGTAAAAACTTCACCGCCGTAAACACTGAATCCTACGAGACACCGGCCGCCCAGAAAACGAGAAAAACGATCTAAACGCTCCAATCCTCTGGCCTCGGTGGATTTGCCCAACTGCCCTTAGCAAACACAAAGAGAGAGAGAGAGAGAGCCGTACCTCCTGGGAAGAGACTCCTGGACAGTGCGCAGGGCTTGGGGTTCGCCCCAGCAGGGCCTTCGGGTCTTGCATAGCCCATAGAAGAAGAAGAGAGAGAGACACACACACACACAGTTGAAGAAGAAGAAGAAGAAAAAGAAGAGACACACAGTTCGGAGATGGGCTTTAGACACTTGATGCGTTGAGCCGGCTGAATTGGAATTAACGATCAGCTCAAATTGCGAGTGCGCTGAGTTGAAGCATTGGTGTACTGTTGTTGGAGTTGAACGGCCAAGGCTGTAAATTTACAGTTTTGTTTTAATTCAAGCTGACACCGGTTGTGGACATCGGCAGATCTGGACGTTCGAAGTCTGTTGTTTGCAATGGTGTGACACAACGCAGACCCATCAGACCCTGATTGTGGACTTCTTGGTTCTGAAATGTGAACATGACGTGATATTCATGGCAAATACAGCGTGTAAAGTGTTTGCAAGTATGGAGTACTTGGCGATTCATCGGTCATCGGATCTTATGTGCAAAGAGGCGCATTCAGAAAGCATGCGCAAAGTTAGGCCAGGTCCAGGCCATTGAAGGTTTCTTTCTTCCAGCCATGGGCCAAGCCAAAGATGAGGATGAGAAGGAAAGATCCCGGTCACACCACACGCAGGACACCTGCTATTTATGACGATTGGGGCGTGTCACATCATGGTCAGGATGGCCTCAATTGGAAGGATGTGGCGTGGTTGATGCACCTCAGCTCCAATGTTTTTAATTTTACGCCTGTTCTTGGACGCTGTTGTCCTAACAAAGGTTGTCTGACATTGTGGGGACGTCTGTTCTGACCTTGAATGGTGTGGCTGTTGGGACCTTGGTTAAGCGTCAGCATCTTGCTTTGAATCCATTGCTGCCCCTGCATGTGTAGCGCGAAAGTTCTTGGTCATAGCTGGGCTTCTTGCACACAAAAATGTGAAATGGCCATAATTGCGAAGAATGCACGAAGCTTGAATTGGGGTGATTCTGCAGCATGCTGTTTGGTTGTCCTCCCTTCTGCAAGGCCAAATTGGGATGGGTACTCACGATTGCCTTCATTGCTGGATTATTTCCAGTGGCACTGTATTCTTCCCTTTTGATGAGCAGGCCCGTTGGCGTAATACGTTCCATAGACATGTGCTTCAGCGGGGCGTGGTGTTGAATTCAGATTTCTGGCGTTCACAGTGCGCAGGACACGAGGCATACTGAGCCGATTATTGGGTCCTGGCAAGACCGTAGCTCTGGGCACGATGGGAGAGGTGTGCAGGGCACTTGGAGAGCTGGCAGTCTGCAAGTTGTTCCATTGATTCGACGTCTTCCAATTGCAGCTACAGTTTTTTCAACACCAGGATGACAATTAGTCCCACATAATCCTGTGTACCAAGCTCAGCTGCAGGCACTGTTTTGCGCAAAAAGTATGCAGGTGGCAGCTTGCGTTTTCGATTCTCGACGAGCTGGTTTGATAGCACTTCGGTGCGCATTCAATTCTGCTTGTGGGAAACACCTGAACCGATCTGCTTGATCACAATAGCCGTAGTGCACCCACACTGTGATACGCTTTGGCTTAGTCACAGCTGAGCCTTGGGGGAAGTGTGAAGATGACTGAGGTCACCATCGTTGTTTATGGTTACACAGCCCTCGGCCAAGCCTCTTACATGTACCTCTGAAGCATCAAGCTATACTTCAATACTTGGATTCCAAAAAAGCATCCAACAAACATTGTTTTTCTGCAAGCAGCATTTGCAGTTGCGTATGGTCACGTGCACCAACATCACAGAGAATTGCTGCTGGGAGTTTGCAATCAGAGAAGGTTGGTGATGGGAACAGCACTCCAGCAACTTGGCCTGTGCTCAACTGAAGCTCTCTCCGCAGGATGTAGAAAGAGAGAGATGTATATATATATATATGCTGATACCAGCAACTGAGGATGTCGCTGTATGATGTGGCGCTTTGTCTTCCCACCGCGGTTCTTTTGACCATCGTCGCGTTAGTCGCGCCAATTTTCGGAGTGCGGAAGCGACCTGGCTCTAGCGGCTGTAGCCAGCAGCTTTTTTTCAATATGTGCGCTGCAGATGCTTCATGTTGAGTTGAAACTTTTGCAGTGTGTTTGGGTAACGTGACATGGCTTGGTTGGACAAGTCATCCACTGCAGTGAAGGCTGGGAGAATCAGACGCTTGGCTACATAGCTTGACTGGCTAGGCGGCAAGCTGTCTTGAGTGTGTGACTGCGGCTTCAGTCTGTTCAAAAACGTAGTTTTTGAACAGCTGCTGCATCTGCTGTAAATGTCCTTGTAGGCAGCAATGTGCTCGAGGAGCTTGGTGCATAGTGATCTCTCTGAGGTGATGTTGGCTTTTGTGAACTCATTGCTCATCGTGGCTGTGATAGTCCTGCCCCATGATACATGGTGAAGCAGAACTTTTCTTGGATGGCAGCGATTAATATGTCGAGGTGCTTGCCCTTGTCCGAGCAGGCACCACAACCCCACCATGTGCCTTGACTCAATGAAAAGGACCTCCAGTTTAGACATATGCGACGGTACCTGACATGCGCCCTTGTTCCGATGCTGCTGTGGTGTTTCCTACTAGCTCTATGCAGCGCTCCCGAAACACACTGTAGTACACGCATATGGTCAGTATTGGATCAACACCCCTTCTAGCCCAGGCCGGCACACCTTCCTTTTTGACCCAGGCCTCTTGGATTTAAACTTTGTTGACAAGAAGAACTGGAGAGAACCCAAGCGGTGCCAATCCGACAAAATTGCATTGCCACATCAGGTTTGAATTTTATGGTGATCCTGGGCGCCGCTACTAATGTGGTGATGAAGCAATGGCAAGAACATTTCTGCTATGTAGATGCTCCCTGCTACTTTGCCAGGTGGTGTACAGCTATGCTGGACAGTGGATGTATTTCGAGCTGATGGACACGATGTCTGCTCCGGAGGACTTGTGTACTGCTGGAAAGGTGTTTGGGCCCGCTGTATGGCAGTCTTATCTTCTCTTTGTCTTTGGCAATGCAGGACTTTCCAAAATCATTCTGCATCGCAGGCACAAGGATTCTTATTGTAGAGCAGGGGCATTTCAGGGTCTGGTCTGCTGGCGAGCATCACAGAGATTCTGAGCAATGTTAAAGCTAGCAACCCCCAAATAACTGGATACCTTGTTGCAGGTCCGTTTATGCTCATTGCGTACCTGGCTGTGGTGTCTTGGTGTTTGGTATGTCAGCGAAATGAGGGTCTTGGTCCAGACGTCGAGTGCAAATGGTTTCCGTCACCTGGGCATGAAGCTGAGACTGTTCCCGAGGCCTGCTTGGGCTATGGCTTTGGCTCGGGCACGGGCGATCTTATTGCGGGCATGCCCCACGGTCCCATGCTGCAGGCCTCAGCCGCAGAAAGTAGCAAAGACGCCGTTTCTGTCTGTAAGGGCAAAAGGGCATACTGTTGGAGCAAAGCTTTCGCGCAAATTTGTCTCCAACTGCGTTGTTTCTTTACTGCACAAGTTTCAGATGGCCACAAGTGCTGACACGATGTAGCAACATCTGCAACTATGCAAACCGGCAGGTCCAGGTCAACCCTTTTGCATGATAGGATGAAGCATTGGCGATTGTGTTTTGGGTTGTACCATGGACCATGTGTAATGGCCTTTGGCCAGTCCAAAGCAAGGATCTATCGCTCTTGTAGGTTTTGGTGCTGGAAGCTGTGGCTATGCGATCTGATTGCAGCTGTAGGCGGCAGCGGCCATGCTCTTCATCCACGTTCTGATTGTTTATCTGCCGCGGGCTTAGGTAGAAGATGTGCGATTTGATCCTTTGACAAGACAGACTTGAGCGTTGTGCAAGGATTAAGAGCGTCGTGCTGATCCGCTACATACACGGGTGTTGGAAGCCCAACCAGGCATTTGATGCTCTGAAGATTAGGTTATGTTTGGCTAAGTGAACACAGTCTCTGTCAGGTAGATTCGAGAGGCCTTGGCTCCTATGTGCAGCATGGAGGCCAGAAGAGTATTTGCGTGGCTGCAGGAGTGCGCTTCGAAGTCTTGACTGGAGTCTGTGCCGCCAGTTGCTTTGTCCAAGCAGCCAGGGTTGGGCCTCCTCCTCCTGTTGTTGGGCTTCTTTGTGCTGGCTTCTCAGTCAAAGGAGCTGCACGCAAGTCAATCACAACCTGTGAACGAAGTCAGACTCAAGGTCCAACATGATACCATTTTTTTCACAGCTTTTGGGGATCATCGGCGGCCTCTTTGCAGGCCATGCGCTTGTTGGTACGGGTGTGCATGGTCCGGTTGTGTGCTCCCTTAACGTCCAGGAGTAGGTTGATTTTTTCTAAGCCGAATGCAACCCTCATGTTTTGCAGGTGCTCCGTGGATTTTTGCTGGTAGGTTGAATTTCATATGTACATTGCGAAGTATATATTTTTGTCACTTGTGCACTGTGGAAGCGATCGATTTCCCTGCAAGGCACTTGGTTATGCAACGTTCATGTCGTTGTGCAGTCTCAAGAAGGCCCGATTGGTTTCCTGTTCCCGATCACGTTCTTCCTCGTGGCCAGAGGCAACTGGCCCCTTAGACTTGCTTTGTTGCATTTGAAGTCAAAGTTTTTTGAGCAGTGATAGATGTGAATGTGTTACTGCCTGAATACGTATACCGTATCCAGCAGGTTGTGGCGTGTTGTCAGGCCGCGAGAGACTTGCCGAGAACCAGGAGGAACATGAGAGCAGGCCGATGGAACGTCAGGCTCGCTTGGAGCTCGTTCCTGTTTTGGTTTTCCCATTTTAGGAGACTCTTTCAAGACAGGCATCCCCAGAGGAAGTGGTTGCCATCTGTGGCGAGCAAGACGATCCCCAAGAAGAAGGCCAACTGCTACCAGCGCTGACAAACAGTACGGTCGCGAGCACACCAGCACGCCTAGTCAAGGACAGATCATGAAAATCTAGTTTATTTGCTCTTGGTTTCCACTGCTTTTTACAGCGGGCTCGGGAGCTCGGCAGGCACTGAGACAAGCTCCTCGACAAGCTACTCAAGCGTGTTGGGTAGTGGGCGATGCAGGCGAGACCACCACACGCGCTTGCAGGTAGGACTACTTTTTCGGTAACGGGACATCTGCGGTTCAACGGTCGAGCGGCAGCAGTGACAACACTCGCAGTTGTTGTGTGCTCGTTCATACCTTTGACAGGCTGCTACTCGGCTTCGGTACGCTTCCGATTTGGGAGCAGGTGACGATCGTGTTGACGGCGGGACACGGAGCACCGATTCGAAGCCTACATCAGCATGCGCGCCTTATACATACACGTTGTGCAGGTATTGTTCATAGTGACTACGATGATCTTTGGAGTGGCAGACGAGATCTCCCAGGCACCCTGGCCCTGGCAGTTGTCCATGGACACTGCGAGTTGTGATGCAGGTCATGGAGATGTGGGACCGGCTGGGAGCTCCATTCCAGTGCCATCGCCTCCAACCACCGCTGCTGAGCTGCAGCACTTTGCATGTGTCCTTTGGGTGTTGTGGATTTTACAAGCTTTTTTCGCTTTCCGTGTGAGCAATGAATTTCCTGCAGCCCATAAAATGGTTGACCTTGCCGCATGCGCTTGAGCAACCAGGAATCGCCCATCATGCCCTGGCTGAGCCACAGCTACGTTTCACCATGATAATGTCCGCAGTGGACACTCTGACTTCGGATTCATGTTCCATGGAAGTAATGATTAGGCATCCATTCTTGCATTGATGTCTGGGTGTCAGCTGCTTATAGATGGATTGTCCAGCCATGGACTTCTAGATGAGTGGGCTTTGAGAGGGCTCCAACAAACTGTCAAACATGTCTGTGCGTACTGATGGATTTCCCGCCGTGTCCCAGCAGGGTGCTCTTGTCTAAGTTACTCCAGGCCACATCACGAAAGCAAGCCTCCGGGCCTAGCTTGAGTTTCTTATCAAGCGTTAGATTGCCACAAGGGGTGTGCGGGGTGGGACCCGCAGGAATGGTTTCGGGCGTGGGTGGGCGGGGTTGTTTTCCGACCGCTGAACACGTAAAGAACACCGTATCCGACCCTTAAAGAACACGTACAGAATACCTTTTTTTTGTGTTCATCGCAGAGGAATGGATGAAAAAGATGTGAAAGAACATGAAGGGGAACACGTCTTCCGCAAAAGAATGATGGTGGACCCATCGCATGAACCCTGGACAAGGTTCATTCAAGCTTCCTAGTTCAAGCCCTGTTTGTGTCTTAGCATCCGTACATGCTGTATCTATTAGAGTATAGCAGACTACTGGCGAGGACTAGGTAAAGTCATATTTTAGTACTACATACACCTACATTTAGAAGGCATAACATTTGAGTGCCACACATTTAGGTGTCAATCAAAAGCTTAGGTCCTGTAGGCTTCCTCATTCCCAGTAGTAAAAAAAAGGAGAGAGTGCAAATCTGGATTCTGCCAGTTAGATCCTGCTGTAGCTTTCGTCCCAGTCCCTCTGTCCCAAGTCTGCTTGTCTGCAACGGAGTCTGATGCCTGCTCACACTGTTGATGCAAACTGCGGGGGCCGCGAAGGGCAGTTCCCGGAGCGTTCAGAAGGCAGCCACGCAACCTTTGCTCAAGCCCCAAAGCAGACTTTGCAGGAGCAAGTTGGATACCAGGCCCTTAGAGTGCAGCTGCGAACATGGCTGCCCTTGATGAGATGATCAATTCCAACGCCACCAGCCTGCAAGACTGCAAGACCATCAATCCCAGTCTGCGCAGATGGGGGTCCACTGTAGTTCACATGTGGATGGAAACACGATCAGGACATGGTGGTCTTCTCCAGCAGCAGCTGCCCATTTTGCCAGAAAGCTTTGGCAGCCCTCCGTGATGCAGGCTTGCTATAACAGCCTGTTGCACTGGCATGCAAAATCCGTGTGCCCTGCACAGGCTATACCCCGAAGGTCGTGGAAGACTTTGACCGAAGTGCACTCAGCGCCAAGTGCGGCTCGACCAGCGTCCCCAAGGCCTGAAAGAGTTGCCAGACCTGGTGCCCTGCCTCGCATGGTGTGCATTCAAGTGTGAAATCTGGAAGGTCTTTGTCAAGCAGAACTTCATTGGAGGCTTTGCCCATGCATAAGCATATTTGCCTGAATGGGCATAGCTGCAGGCTGCAATGACGGCGGAATGGGAGGCACTTTGCCGCTCTTGAAGAACGGCAAGATCAAGGAGCCTTTTTTTTTGGTGTGTGCTTTTGTGACAGACTGAAGAGTGAACTGCACGGAGCGCCCGTAGCAAGGAGCTCATGGGCAAGTGAGCCATTTGGCAGGGCAGATGCCATGGTGATCCTGAGCTTTTGCCACATGCTAGTCCCGCTGGTCTTCTTTGCCTGGGTCGTACAGTCAGAAAGTCCGGGGCTCACAGGCCATAGCTTCAAGACATCCGAGCAATTGGCTCACCAAGTTCGCAAGCAATACCTGCTTGGGAGCTCAAAAGCTTTTCAAGCACACCTGCGTGCTTTGCTTAGACGCATGGGATACCGTTGCACAGCTCATAACTTATGAAGCGACCTCTGCAGCTCTGTTCAAGGCCTTGCAGCAGAGTGTGCAGGAGCGAGCCGAAGAGATGGGAGGCGGTCAGAGTGCAGCTGCGAACACGGCTTCCATCGATGAGGTGATCAGCTCCAACGCCGCCAGCCTGCAAAACTACAAATCCAATTTTCTAGATGGCACGTGTGCTAATAGGCTGCTTCAGACGCTGTCTCGTTTGGGCTAGGCAATTGCCGCTGTTTAGCATGTTTATGCAGAGAGGAAACGTGTCAGGACATGGTGGTCTTCTCCAGCAGCAGCTGCCCGTTTTGCAAGAAAGCTTTGGCAGCCCTCCGTGATGCAGGCTTGCTATGGCAACCTTTTGCATTGGCATGCAGAAGTTTGGGGCTGACACCATGGGTGGGCAAAGCCATGGAGGGCAAGCTACACATTTTTTACCATCTTAGTGTCTAGCCTTTTCAGGCCGCAACACAGTCGCGCTGTGTGACCACCTCGCCCCTGTGCCGTGAGCATGCACCAACGACACCAGTGCCCTGACAGATTGCATCAACAGTGTGACTTCACGTTACATGCGCGCACGTAACCCCTGAAAGCAAAGGTCTAAAAGAATGGTATCTGTGCAAAGAACACAAGTTTTAGTTCAATTTGCTCCTGTAAGGATTCAGGTTTGTTTGCTCATCCAGCCTGTTGCAGAGCAACATCATTCCTGTAAAGTACCCTGGAGCACAGAAGTTAGTGAATGCCTTTGACAGCTGCCTGAATTTTGTCACACGTACCTCCCTGCAAACCTGGCACGGATCAAGCGGCGGGTGTAAAGGCCTCGAGCTGCACGAAACGGAGACCCAATGATGCCGATGCTGTTGACCGAGCGGGCACGCATCATCAGCACAATTCATTCCAGTTTCTCAGCTTCTTGTGGTGCCTGCAAAGCTTGGTGCGAAATACGCTGCAAAAAGAGCTACAACTGTGGGGTGGTTCCTCGAGCCATGGGGGCTGCAGCCTTCGCGGGCGTTCAGAAGGGTGCTGCTTGTGCAAACAAAAACTTATCTTCAGCTCTCATGACATTGGTGTTCAGCACAAGCTCATAAATTCATAAGCATCCCTCTGCTTCTGGGAAATGGCTCAGCTGCACTTCATGTGGGGTTCGATGGGCCAACCGTAGTCTGGGAGGCGTGGAATATCGATTTGTTGTTTTGACGGCCAGCACGGCGTGGAATGAGAGCTCGTAAAGGTTACTACGGTTTCAGCAACGTTCAATCTTCTCTGTGCTGGTCTTTTTACAGCCACAATATCATGCCAGCAAGAACCACCATCTTGTTGAGTCCTATCTGGTGTGATACGCGCGACCAGCTTGTGCTCCGGCTTGGAAGGCTCAGGGATTCGGTGGCGTTTGAATGTGGCATGTGGGAGAAACGGCTTGGCTCGCGAGAGCACTGTGCAAGACTGGGGACCTTGCATGGGGGACTTGGGTGCCTGGGGGTTGGCAGACAAGAAGTTTGGGGGTAGTTTTGTTGGTCGGGGGTAGCAAGACGGAGAAGATTTGGCTTCACTGTGCATGCCAATCAGATCAAATCAACAGGTTCGCGTCCCTTGCACAGGCTATACCCCGAAGGTCGTGGAAGACTTTGACCGAAGTGCACTCAGCGCCAAGTGCGGCTCGACCAGCGTCCCCAAGGCCTGAAAGAGTTGCCAGACCTGGTGCCCTGCCTCGCATGGTGTGCATTCACGTGTGAAATCTGGAAGGTCTTTGTCAAGCAGAACTTCATTGGAGGCTTTGCCCATGCATAAGCATATTTGCCTGAATGGGCATAGCTGCAGGCTGCAATGACGGCGGAATGGGGGGCGCTTTGCCGCTCTTGAAGAACGGCAAGATCAAGGAGTTTTTTTTTTGGTGCGTGCTTGTACTGGTATGAGAGACTGAACGGTGAACAGCATTGAACGCCCGTAATTAGCAAGGAGCTCATGGAGAGCTGAGCCGATCTGCAAGGTGCATACCATCCCTGCACTTTGTTGCCAGGATGGGCTCCACTACAGCCTTTGGCTTCAATCTATTGTCTTTTGTCACGGTATCCTTTTCTTCCGAGGAGAGTTGGAGAGGAGGTCCCGTGTATAAGCATGCACAGAAGCTTTCAAAGATTTCGTTGTTAGGCCAGCTAGGCTTTCAGGGGTTCACTTATCTTGGAAGCTTCTTGTTGCATGGTGATCCTGACCACGTTGTGGTCCTTCCGGGTCTTCTTTGGCTGTACAGTGAGGAAGCCCGTGAATCCCAGGCGATAGCTTGAAAACAGTTAGAACGCTTGGCCCACCACAGCTCGCCACCCACGTGTACCTGGGAACTCGAGACATCTAGTGGAGCTGACGTCTGCGAGCGGAATTCAGCCAGGATGTTTTCAAGCAGTGGTTTAGTCTGGTGCTTACCAGCAATGAGGCCTGGCTCGTAATGTATTCTTGTAGTGTTGTTGTGGCTGCTGCGTGGCTTTACTCAACAATTTGCGTGGTGTTCGTGCTGCAGCATTTAGTTGTGTCTCAAATTCTTCGTAGTGGACTGCCAGCATGATGAACGCTGCGCTTAGCTGGTTGCTTGCGACAGCAGCTTTCAGGACTCAGGATCTGCGCCGCTGGTGCATTGTAAAAGTAACATAAATGTCGAGGGCCAAGGGTTCGTGGTTAGTTTTAGATCTGAGTTTGGGGCAGAAAACGGCTAAGTTTCAGGGGCTACAAGCCTGTTTCTCGCGCGTGCAGGAGCACCTTGGCAGTGCGGACGCATCTCCGTGAGCCTTGCGCCTTGGAGGACGCGCCTGAATTCACGCACATATTATCATGTATGGATATTCCATCGACAGATCTTAGCCTTGCTCTGGCAGTTGAGGGTGTCTTCTCATTGCATCCCAATTTGTTGGTGCCCTAAGTAGCAGTCCTGTACCCGGCAGGAGCAGGCAATACGCATTGAGTACAGCGAGCCAGGCTTCTGTTGGGGTGCGTAGGTATGCCTGGGGGCCAGCTGCCTGCAATGAATCTGGGGCAGTCACGGTCCAACCAGGCACTTTGAACCACGGAGAGTTCGACTTGATCAAGATATCATCCTGGAATGGATGCATGGCAGCAAACGGGCGGTGCATGTTGTTG